TATTCTCTCGACGATAGCTTCAGTCTATCGATCGTTTTAGTTCATAGCTAAACTGGAGTGAATGACTTTTCATTGTAGTCGTTGGGTATTGTTCGAATAGAAAAATGATAAAGTCGCTATTAGCAATATGTATCGACCTTTCATATTCATAGATTAGCTTTAGACAGTATTAAATTTCAGTTTCAATACTCATCTTCTCCTTTTTATGCAGAAACTAATACAATTAGGGTTGTATCAAAACCAAATCGAAGATTCGGGAACGCAGTATTTAGCCGACGCGTTGAAAACAAATCAAGTGAGATCTTTCTGCAACTCTTACTTCCATGTCATTACAAGTTGAGTTTTGTGTACTTGGCGGATAAATGATTTAGTATCAATGATGAATGCCAACAGTTTTAATTCTGGTTAGGACTAAAACCAGACACCTGGCATCAAGCGTATTTCTCTGAGAATTAAGAAGATATTTGCCCATATGCTCCACATTTGCTACTTTCTCAGACGCTCCTGACGATGAGTTAAGCGTATTTCAGATCAAAATTTACTAGATTAAACTTAAGCATAGTATTCACTGTCCATTCTGGTTCTAAATTTACCTACACAATAATCAAATTGGAGACAACGGAGCACAGCATCTATCTGAAGCGCTAAAGATCAATAAAGTAGGTGTTCTTCTTTTATAATGTCTCGAGAACAAGTTTTCGTTTTGAGGTTCAATCATACCATAACATTGCCATAAGTAATTCGAATTTGAGATTCCAAGACTGGAATGATATCTCAAATGAAGAAAAGCTCATCTATAGCTATTATTCCTGAGGAATTCACAGGAAGCCGAGTGATTTAATAAAGATACGACACTAGAAGTTCTTTCCGTTTTCTTTAGAGATTATAGAAGCTTTTTCTTCATATAGTATTTGACTTCTGGGAGACATTGGCTTCTTTTCTCGTTGAATGTGTTAACTGCTACTCGGTTGAGAACATGATCCTAATATCAACACACATTGTAATAGGTAGATTTGACATAAATATGATTTATAGTACGTATCTCAATCTATTCATGCTACTCGAAACAGAGTAGATTTTTTCAAACTTAGTCATGAAATTGATGCAATCCACGTAAAATAAAAACACATCGATCAACTTCCTACCAGTACTCAAAAATGAATGTTTCTCCATTATTTAGTGCCAACACTAATTAATAGAGAAAGTAGTGGTATGTTTCGTAGCGTTACATCTTTGAAGACTTGAACAAATAAAAATCATCAGAGAGACAGAACATAGTATTTCAGCTACACATGTATGGAAATAAAAGCAGCGATAATGTAGCGCAATATCTTGCTAAGTTGCTTGATACTAACAAGCTATAATTATTCTGGGTGTTTCACACGTTATCGTGGAGAATAAAACATTTTCGAGAAGTATATTCAGCAACGATTCTATAGATCTTGGTTATTTTAGTATATTTCTCACGTTTCTTTTTCTCGTCAAGAAATGATACGAGTATCTATTGTCTTTTCCTTTCAACATACACATCCAGTGTAGGTTCGATTGAGATCGCTTCGCTTCATCGTCTCACACAATGTGAGTTACTTTCATAGTAATACTATGAGCGCTGTTGTGGGTGTAATTACATATCATCTTTGTTTAGAGCAGTATTTAGCAATCTCTTTGATCATTCGAAGTGCTCCTGGTATTAATAAGAGTCACAAAATGACCAGAGATGAAGCCAAAGTCTCATGAAAAGTCAGCCATCTCTGAGGTTGTAGTATGACTAGCCAATACGAATTCGTGTCTTTGTCCACCTAAAACTACTGTTCTGAACAATTCTGTATATAGATACTTGAGAATATCTTAGTTAGTAAATGAAGCCGTTGAATACCATAAATATGTATCTGCCTAAGTAGTTTTCCGTCTTTGACATAGGTACTTACAACACTTTATTTGTCTGGAAACCAAATCGGAGACAATGGGGCGCAACAGTTGGCCGAAGCACTTAAGCTGAACAAAGTATGGGACTGTGTCAGTTGTACATTCAGTTGTCACTTTTTTCACAGCTCGATAAGTTCGCCTTATTGAAAGAAAAGAATGTCTCTTCTCCTCGTTTTTTATATCTCTCAACTCTTTTCAAAAGTGTTCTCCGACATTCTTCTGCATTATTTATATATTCACATAGAACAGAATAAGCTATCATGGAATGCTTTAGTCCAATACTGAGACTAAACTCAAGTGAATGTTTAGGCCATTTATGCGCTTGATTCTATGCGTCATACGATTATTGCTTGATCGCAAAAGATTAGTTCATTCGAGCTCTATCAAGCTGAAGATAATCGAATGAAAATCTATATGCGTAGAAATTGATCTTTCAAGCTTTGAACTCGTGTTTTACTTAATTTATCTGCAAGTAACATATTGTATTATTCTTGAAGCCTCTAACGTTGTAAGATAGTTCGAAACTTGAGTCCGATACGCGCGTAGGAGGACTTTAAAGAGAGAAATATCAGTATATAATACCTGCTCTGATGTTGTTCTGTACAGAGTTTCACTCGGTTGGATTTGCGAAATAATCAAATTACCGATAGCAAAACACATCTTGTAGGAGACGCACTAAAACACAATAAAGTGAATAATTATCTCAAAGCACAATCTTTTTAGCATGTTGAGTTCTATTCCTCTATCCTAGACGCTGAAAGTTCTATATATTAGTGACAACAAGTTCTCTTCTGCTGTGCACACACGTTTGAATCAACAAGATAGTCGAATCCAATGAATTTTCTGTTTTTTGATCCTGTGAAATAAAGCTAAATTTAGTCAATTGGTATAAAATATTGTATCTTCAATATGACTTTGAATATGTTCGACTCGAACATTAAGAATCGATCGATATATTTATATATAAGACGATGTCTGGTTGTTAAAATACATACTTTTGCTCGATCTTTCTTATCACAACCTACACTCTCATCGATACTAGAGTGCTATGATCAGACAATTCAGATTAAATACTTCTACTATCTTTCATAAAAAATATGATCTAATGGAAAAGGAGTTCCCGTACATAATCTTTATTAGTGTAAGTCTTGGTCAATTGAGTCGCTGAATAATCATAAGCTATGAATTTCTTAATTTGAAAAAAATTGTTGCCTTATAATCATGCCGTTCTGTTATTACTGAGATACGAACAAGTGAAATTATTTGAATTGCTGCATATTGTTGTTGTTGTTATTTTTTCGTTCCATTTTTTCTTTTATAGACACTGGAGGAATTGTATCTCCCGGAAAGCATCTCCGCTGATGTACAACAACGATTACAAGACCAAGATGATCGAATCATTTTTGAGTAATTGTTTTAGTGTTTTTATCACATATGAATAAAATAAAATTCATTTGACTGTTTCGTCGTGACTATATGAATCAAATTTTCCCATCAGTCTAAACTCTTGTTCTGCTTGAATTTTGACTCGCGCAGAAATTATATAACATCAACTTTTCGGACACAATTTCAACGTTCGAAGAGAGAAAATTTATCTGAAAGATACTTTCGATTATTTTTGTTTACATCAATAAAGGAAAACGTCTGGAATATTGGATTACTCAACGATTTCACACTTTTATTCCATCTTCCCATAAAAGCGATGATTATTTTATAGGTGGTTTTATATACATTATGATTGCAATAATATTAGTTACTAGCTCTAGCAAAATTCACAATAGAAATATATTCCTATTCACGATGAAAAATCGTCAGTAATGGATTGAACTCTTCAAAAATCTTTAGTCTGTCAAATTATAGGGAGTGTCGTGGCTGTGTGTGAATCTAGCAACTATTATCGTAATTTTGTCTTCACCAAAACGGCTCACCAAACAGCGTGATTTAATCACGCATAGTCTATGTTTTAATAACCCTATGTCAATTCGAGTATGATCTTTTGTTGTTACTGGTTGAAATGGATACCAGAAAGAAGCATTACAGTCTTGCTCTTAGTGTTGTAACTAATCTGAGATTTATCAAAAGGAAACTGGTAAAAGTATAGTTCGTTGTTCGATTCTTATACTTTGGAAAATCAAGTGCAAAATAGATTCGATTGTGCAATGGATGTAAAAATTGCACATACACGACGGACTAGTGTGAATTGCACAGTTGCTTGATTACTGATGGTTCTAGCCCATATGACATTTGGCAAACAACAACATGGAGAATATATTCTTCACTCATGATATTTTTATACCTAATTATTTGTGTTAAGTCTCTTGAAGGTATGAAATTATAAAACGAGCAGTTGAAATTTCCAGTCTTGGTAAAAGATAAATTGCATCGATTACTCATTTCATGTGTGTTCGGATAGTACAATTTTATAAAGAAAAAAAAAACCTATCAGTGATGATAGCGCCCCCTACCGTTAATACTGCTCGTCCTCTGTTGGTTTGATTCATCCTACCAATGATTCATCGAGTTGTTGATGGTGATTGGTTGAATCAAGTTGAAAAATAAATAACAATCATACATACACCGTTCGTCAAAAACAATATGACTAAACGGATAAGTTTTGTTTCTAGCCATCTCAACACGATGGAATCAATTCTTCTAGTTAATCGTTGAATGTTGATGTAAGAGGAATGAATGGATATTTCCTACTGACATCATTCTTTCAACAAACATGTGTTTCTGCTAAATAATCGTTGTTTTGTTCTAGATTTGTTTTACTCAAGTTCTTTTACGCATCATAAAAACGAAGACTTTTGTACTTCTATTCAGTTCATAATGATATCAATTGAATAAAAAATAAATAACAACAGTAAAGTAAGTATTGCCTCTCTAAGAATTTGATGATGATAAGACATCACATATTTGCCAAAGAAAACAGAATAAAAGGCGTAATTTTTCTTACTTTCATATTCATTATTATCTTATCTACGTTTTTGCAAAAAAAGAAAAGATTTATTTTTTTTCTTGAACGTAAATATGGGTAATACATCCTCAAAGCGAAAATGTTCTGTCGATATTTCTGATAGATCCAGAAGCTCTCGTCATGATGAAGTGGTGAGAGTGGAAAACAGCGAGCATTGTTTTTAATTTTAATTTTTCATTAGCTATTTTCACCAATCATGTTTTCGAGAGCTCGAAATCAACGTTCTTCAATAAAACAAATTCCAACTACGGATACATCCATTACATTAACAAAAGATCGATCACCGGTGATAGCAACAACAACGTCGCCAATGAATTCTAACTTTCTTTCTCTACCTACGAACAGTACATCTACACAACCCACAAATCAAAGTATAAAGTATTTTCTGTAATGTTAAATTTTAATTAATTAATTTCTTATAGGAACTTTAAACGCAAACACATCGAATAGTGGTAATGAAAGTGTACGTCGTCGTGTTTTAAATATTCTTCGTTTTACTACTGGCCGTCCACCAACCGTTCGTTTTACTGATCCACGTAATAAAAATTCGCGTAAACAACAGCAAAATTTGTCTGCTACAACAATGCACGACAATGGTTCTATAACACCATCAATAGCTTTTATGAAAGATGAATTAGTCGAATCAGCCGCTGCAACAGCAAATGAACATATCATTAATATAATAACTTCGACAACAAACCAATTAAACGATAACAGTTGTAACAATATTGAAACGTGTGTTTTATGTTGTCAGGAATATCCATTAGAAGAATTCGAACGCTTAACACTCTGTTCACATTCATATTGTCGAACATGTTTAAAAAGTTATCTCAGATTAGAAATAACGGAAGGCCGTGTAAGCCTTAATTGTCCACATAATGAATGTCCCGAACGTATACATCCATGTGATATATCAAGAATACTAGAAAAACATCCTGATATTATATCGAAATATGAACAATTTATGGTACGCCGCGTTTTACATTCGATAACTGATACACGATGGTGTCCAGCGCCAGACTGTGGTTTTGCTGTTATTGCATCTGGCTATGCATCATGCCCAGAAATTCAATGTCTGAGACCGGGATGTAATACATCATTTTGCTATCATTGTAAAGCAATATGGCATCCAAATAAAACATGTGAAGATGCAGCAAGAGAAAAAATCTCAAGTAAAATTCGTTCGGGCTCTTTCATAAGTCTTACTTCTGCTCAACCAAAAGATGAAGTAAAGCAATGTCCTAGATGTCAAGCATCGATACTTAAAATGGATGATGGATCTTGTGTAAGTTAAAAAGTTTAGATAGAATTTTTCTTTTTGCAAGAAAAAAAAATTTTTTTTTTTGTTAGAATCATATGACATGTCCAATATGTGAAGCAGAATTTTGCTGGTTGTGTGGTCGAGAAATATCAGATTTACATTATTTAAGGTAAAGATTAGCTAGGTGAGAAATTTCATGTTATTTTACTATTTTTTGTTGATTTTCTAGTCCATCGGGCTGTACATTTTGGGGTAAAAAACAGTGGAGCAGAAAGAAAGTTATTCTATGGCAAGTTGCTACATTAATTGGTGCACCAGTTATTATTGCTTTGATTGCTGGTGTCGCTGTACCAGGTGTAATTATTGGCGTACCTGTATGGGCTGGTCGAAAAATATTTAAAAAATTTAATAAACCACAATATAGCAGAGCAAAACGAAATCTTCTTGTTGCATTAGGTATTATTGGCAGTGTAATTGCATCGCCAATTATTGCTGCACTTGCTATTGGCATCGGTGTTCCCATTCTTTTGGCTTATGTTTATGGAGTAAGTCATATTTACTTTTTTTTTCTTAAAAAGAAACATAATAATAAATTTGTCAATGGATCATAGGTCATTCCGATCTCTTTATGTCGAACAGGTGGTTGTGGTGTTGCAACAAGAAATGACTTGTCAGACGGTGATGGTCGTAATATAGAGAGTATATTACCATTTTCTTTACGGGACTTACCATTAGCACGAACAATTCTTAATGGTGAAGAAGAAGAAAACGTAAAACTTCAAATTCCATTTTCGCTTCTATTTTAGATAATCAAAGTGTGATGACACATCCAACGATAGGCGGTGATTCTACTAGTCTATCAAATAGTGTCGTACATCTCATAGATGACAGAAGCAATGAAAGTACAAAAGCATTACCTGGTACAGGAGCTGTGTCACTTTGCGAAAGTTTACCACCTTCACATCGGTAAGAACTGCCGACTGCAGCTTGACATTCTTTTGCATTAGTCTCGAAAGTTTAAAGAACGCAGGAGCTGCATTGATTAACAATAACAACTTTAATTTTAGTGTGGAAGTTCAAGCCGAAGTTAGTGATTGTAAAAGTTACGATATTGAAAGTATAACTATCAGTGAAAAATCTTCAAAAACTATGGACAGTCTCAAAGCATTGGCTGGTTCGATTAAGTAAGTTTTGAATACAAGGGAAAATACACAATCTCAATAATAATCCTGCTCGCATTTTTTTAGAGATGCATGTGCTGTGCCTGGTGTTGAGTATAACAATGATACTATATGCGGTAGTACTAGTGATTCTAATGGACGAAAATCCAGTCTATTGAGTAGTGCATCGGATTATGCTCGTTCGATAAACATTGAACAACATTCAACATTACATCGTGCAGGTTCACCAAATACTGATAAAACAGTTTCATTTTTTGATGAGCGTGTTAAAGTGAAATCAAAGTAAAAATATTTATAAGAGACAAGAACTTGTCTGTCTATTTAAAATTTTGTTCTTTTGTAGACTATCGCCTGATCGTTATTGAGCGTGTATAGGATTTTTATTTTTATTTTCATCATGCACAGAAATATAAAAAGCTTTCTTTTTCTCATGTATGTATTTTCTTTTCTTTCTTTTTTTTTTATATCCAGTGAATTCTTTCCTCTTTTGGCTTTTGATTGTATTTGAAAAAGAAACAAACAGCTTGAAGCTCTTGTGGTTTTTCTTTCTTTATGCTATTCGATTGTAATTTATTTATTATGAGAGTGTTCATTAGAGATGGAAGATTCAAACATTCTTCTTTTCTTTTTTGATTTTTGCTTGTTTGTTTATTTATTCATGTAATACAACAGGTGGAAAACAAAGGGAAGAAATCAATGGAAAAATAATTCAATTCTTTTTTATTAATTAAACATATGTTAAATAAACTTGGGATAAATTTTTATTCAGTGATATGATGGGATTTGTTTACATTCAGCTATGCTTTGATACAATAAGAAATAAAATAGTTGAGTGTTTTTACGTAGTAAATATTATTGAGAAGAGAATCCTTTCAATGTAGCTAATGGATAGGTTCTATTTTGTGAGTCAACGGATTTATTACATGAGCGCTTCCTTCTTAAATTATGATCAGAAAAAAATGTGGAAGAATTTTATATCGAGAGAAACTTTTGAAATAAAATTCATCGACTTCAGCAAAATTAACTCCTCTTTAATAATTAATAAAAATGCAGTTGTGTCGCTATAAATGGGAGTAGTCACATTTGAACCAATCAGATGAGTGGCTTCAGAAGGAAAGGAAAGGAGAAGAGTTTATGATTCAATTTAACCAATCATTAATTATTCATTTTCATCTTGATCTCATCAATGGATTCTCATTTTCCAATTAACAAATCTAATTAGAAGCTACTTGTTTTTTCTCGTTTTAGACCAATGTACAAGTATTTGTTGTAAAGAAATGCTAAATAATTATGGCACTACAAGATCTTGCCGAAATCCGACTTGTATGCAAAGCAGATTATTTTGATCCAAAATTAAAAAGGAAACTTCATGAAATTCGCGATAAATTAAGACAAATACTTCATATCGGTATGATTCTATACAGTAAACTGAAATCATAACATACGCATACATGTTACTTTAGGTCGAAGAAGATTTGTTTTAAAAAAAATTCAACCGTGGAACAGTGTGAAAGTTACATTTGATATGCCGAAAGAAGCAGTTGATAGACTTCGTTTACTTGCTACAGAAGATAATTTGCACCTCGTGGAACTTGGCATACTCAGTGTAGAAATTGTTGGACAAACCAATGTGATTCTTGTGAATAATAATTCATCGATAACGAACAGTATGGTTTTTTCTTCTTTAAAAGTAAATTATTTATTTTATTTATTTCAGGTAAAACCTCCTCGTCCTTTAGTTCAAATCTGATGCAAAATTTCTCATTAGATACAGCATCTAATAAAGAAGATGCTAAACGAGTTAACATTGACAATAATGTTAATCAACAAAATCATTTATCTTCAATTTAAAAACAAAAACTTAGCAAATCCCAATCATCTTTGAATTCGAGTTCTTATTAAAAGCCGCGGTGGTTGTACATACGTATTTTAGGTATTTTTTTCAAATGATTTATATCACTGGGCATACTCCCATAATGTTTTCTTTGATTTTTGTTAGAAAAAAAAATCGTTTGTGTAAAAATTAACTAACATTGATTAAATAATATTAACGGAAAAACAAATCAGTATCTTATTTTTGATTCCCACCTACACGTTGGCAACTTTTCAGAACATATTATTGGAGAGATATTTTTAAAATTGCTTCCTTTGTTAAGCGACCAATAAAGATCATGCTTGTTCACCGGTGAACAATAGATTTTCCCCTCGCAATGCGAAACGGAATCGCTGCTTGTGACTGATGGCAAACACACGTGTTCTGAACATTGATGAAATCAAGGTTTCTTCCAAAAAGCATCCCATATTAATTTATTTGTTCCTTGAATTAAAGCAACAGCTGTTCGAACATCATTTTCTATTGCTTGTTGTTCAAAAATTCGCTTGTAAAAAGAGCAGTGACTATTATCTTTGAGGCATATTGCTTCATTTTTGTTTTGAGAGCGTGAATGAACTATATACATATTTGTGCATCTCATTGAAATAAAAATATCTTCTGAAGAGCACATAGCCTCGTTCCTATAGTCATCATTTGTTATGACTTGAGTTCCAGCAATCGGGAAAAAAATTCGTTGAACATAGTGTAACAGAAACCAAGCCCAGATATAATATTTTTGTGCGTTAGTGATCTCAGATGAGAGATTTTATGACGTCGAAAAAAGAACAGCACAGTGTTTTTGTATAACTTGCATAATCTTCACCTCGTTTGCGAAATGATCGTACAATGAGTCCTCGTTTGGAAAGATACAAACGACAAAGTTGCCTTAGTTGCAAAACAATTGCACAATCGCAGCAAAATACTTTCCCCATGTAGTCGTATTTATACACGACTACTCGTCAATATCCGTCGCCAAACGAACAAACTAGCGATGGCAGAAGAGGGAGAACGGGTGACGGTTTGTAGGAGTAAGCAGGAAACCGTGAAAAACAAAAGCAAAAGTGTCTCCAATCATGATAATCAAACAATATGGTCAGAAGGAAATCAAAACGTGAAGTAAGTACCATCGAAATTCATGTATTCATTCTAATCGATGCGATTATGCAGTAAACAGTACCCAAGTGTTCGACGACACTTCGAAGGTGATCCAGACGAAAAACAAATGACATTGGATGAATACAAATCTCTGCGTGAAAGCAAAACAAAAGTAAACGCTGTTAAAGTTCCAACCGGCTACATATGGCAAGGAATTCAACAGATCAATGATAATCAATCAGCAGATGAACACAAAGAAAGTTTACAAAACGAACAGTCAAATAACAAGAGAAAGTTTATCTCAATTCCGTTGGTTTTCAAATCATTTAACTATGAAACTCCATACACATCGGGCAGTGAACCACCCAAATGTAAGACTTAGCTAATTTTTTACAGTCTGATTTTCGTGTACCTCATAGCCTATCAAACATCATCTCAACACTCGAACCGTAATGGACCACGGTGTGTTAGTCGCAATGGTAAGTTAATACATGTCATTTTTTAAAATCAAATCGAATAAATAATAATTCCCTTAGGACGAGAATCTTGATCACATCCGAACGATCGAAAAACATCTACAAATTCTGATAGAACTCCATATAGTTCTGGTTACTAACGCTTACATCTTAAGCTAGAACACTTTCGTTTTTATATGCTAAATAAAAGTTTATATGATGAAAAAAAGCACCGCTGAATGTTTATTGATACGAATAAAAAGAATATCAAATGGACATTTTACAAGATAACCACATATAAATGTTAATAAAAATGAATATTCCACAATGTTAGTATTGATGATGTAGATGGAAAGTTAAATCGATGGACGCTTTCTTTTTGGACTGACAATAATTTTATACATATTGTTAATTATAGAGCAGAATTAATAGTGGGAACAAAGAATATCCTTTCGTTAGTCATCAATTCAATTCTTCGGCATAATTAGCCGGAAATAAACCAGATCTAGAGCCGATTTTACCATACCACCATTCGTCATGCATCTAAGTACAAATAATATTTTCTTCGAAACCAAAAAAACACAAAAATCAAACTATTTTCTTACCTTTTGCACATTTGTAATTATTTCATTTTCCTCAAAGCCTAATTCATCCTCTTCAGCTAAACGAGAATATTGCCGAATGATTATCGTGAAATATTAGTTTGCTTACTTTTTTCATAACTATAACGAGCAACACATCGAATACCTTCGTTATTGGATGGTGGTTCTGGTTGAGCAGCTGGTATTGGTGATGGACTTCGATAGGATTGATGTTGATGGTTATCAGCCCATTCATCATCATCATCATCATGTTTCGATGACGACGATGACGCTTTTCGGGCTCGCAATAACGATGCTACATTAACACCGCCGATAAACTTATTTGATTCTACTTGTTTTTCTTCCGATCGTTGTGTTTCAAATCGACTATCAAGATTTTCATAAATGATTGAATTTGTTACTGATGGCAATTGAATTTCAGGTTGACGAACAGGAGTTGGAGATGGTTCTCGAACTGGTTGATTATACGTTGGTGGTATTTCTGGTTGCTTAACTTTCTCGTGACCATTACTCGTTGATGGTTGTTTCTGTTGAGATTGTTGATCATGAGTAGTGCGAGTATTTCTTTCTTCGGCAACACGTTTGGTAGCTTCTTGTTCTTTTTTCATATTTTCAAATCTATTAAGGAATACCTTTTTCTCTCATTCTTATTCTTGCGATGAAATGACTTTACCTAGCTCGAATATTACCAACACCAATGCTACTACCAACTGGTGGTGGAGTTTTTTCTGAAGAACTTGGTTCTAAAACAAAATTAAAAAAAAATATACGCCATAATGATTCACTGGAATTTACCAGGAGATCTCGTTGAAGTAGACGATCGGCTGGGTTCTTCTTGCTGAACACCATATTTGCCACCGAAACCTTTCGAAAAATCTGCAAGAGAAGAATTGTGTCAATGGTGCATTGAAAACAAAAATATATTGACCTGTTTGTGATGAATGTTTGGGTACTGTTTCTCTGTGAGAAAAGCCTACTGCTGATTTATCTTGTGCATTCGGATCTATGCCATATTTACCACCGAAACCTTTTGAAGAATCTACAACAAGAACTTTTCGTTCTATATTATTATTGAAAAAAGGGAAATTTTCCTACCTGTTTGTGATGAATGTTTGGGCACGGCTTCTCTGTGAGAAAAGCCTACTGCTGATTTATCTTGTGCATTCGGATCTGTACCATATTTACCGCCGAAACCTTTTGAAAAATCTGCAACAAGAACTTTGAACTTCTGTTTGAAAGGAAACGAAAAGTCTCAAACCTGTTTGGGAGGGATGTTTTTCAACTTCTCCTCTATAATCAAAACCAACAGCAGATTTATCTTTTGCACGATCGTCAACACCAAATGCGCCGCCAAATCCTTTGTTACAATCTACGATAGATAACAATCAATCATCAATCCTCCGGTAATACAAACATCTGCTAACTGATAATTGTGATCCTATGAACTCAATCGGTCACAAGAATATAACCACAGATTGCATAAGTCGCTTGATATTTTTATTATGCAATAAAATTCGGAAAGTCTACAAATGTCTTGGGTGAAATATGATATATCTATATAAGTGCATATGTTTAGAATGATTTATTAATTAAATAAAATTTCACGAAACTAGTAAAATATTCTTACCCTTCATTTCATTGTCAGAATTTTACTTTTTATTAAAAACAAAAATAATAGAAATATTTTTATTTATTTCAAAAAAATGAAAAATCTGAATTCAAATTATTATCGAAATCATATTTATATCTAATACGGGATTTCATTTAGTAACAAGCAGCGTAATATAGGTATAGCAATGGAAAAAAAATCTCTTTAATTTATTCTATACAACTAACAACAGAATCTCATCAATATGTCGCCGTCGAATTTCGATGTAAATTTTATTTATCGCAACTAGGCATAATGTGCAGCCGAAAAGAACAATATGCAAATCGAAAGGAGATAGATATTCGATGAGATTCAGTCGTTAGTATAAAATCATGCATGATCAAAATATTTTTTTAGCTTCTTACCTGTCTGTGACGAATGCTTTGGAACTTCACCTCTGTATGAATAATCAGCTGCTGACTATATTCAAAGGATAAATTTCATAATCATGAAAGAAATAGAAGTTACTTTATCCATGACTTGATCTTTTCCATATTTTCCTCCATAACCACGGTTAGGATTTTTATTTTGATATACTTCTCGTGTCGTACTATCAGCTGTTTTTGCTTTTTCTTGGAGATTTTTAAAATCAACATGATCTACTCGACCAGAACCAGGTACACTTGATGAACCATACCGTTGTGATTTTTCGTTTGTTTGATTCTAGTTTTAAAACAAAATACATATTGTAATGAGAAATAAGCAAGAAAAAATGTCACACTTCATAGTTAATATCGGTTTCCCAATCGTCATCTTTCGTATCGAATTTTGGTTTCGGTGCTGTTGGTTTAGCTACCGGTTTTTTCAAAGCTTCACGCCACGCCATTTGCTTTTGTATTTCTCGAAAAAAAGTGATTCACGTTTGACAGAATATAGGATCTCAATATGACCGGTTGAAAATGTTCTCCAATCACAAAGTAGAAGAGTCATGAGAATTGTTTGGTTGGCTGTAGTGGAAGCAAGCAAAGAGCGACACGTACATACAACTGTGTATTGAAAAAAAAGTCCCTTTCATCAATGTCTCAAAACAACGTTTGCCCTTTATTTTTATTTTTCATGAGAAGAAGAATGATTTCAGGTTTCCACCAATGTGCTCGCATCATTCGATTTTCTTTTATTTCGATATAGATCCATTTATATGAATATAAAAACATGTGTTTCAATTGTTTTTCAGTTAGACAGCCTTTTTTTACAGTAATTTTATCATCGATCTAGAAATATTTCATTTATGAGATATAAGTTATTACTAGCGATAGAAAGGTATTCGATAGTCTGTGATGTAGAAGAAATTTTTAATATACATTAGAACATTTTCATTTGCTTTAGATTTTGTTTTTCTTGGTAGAAAGAATTGCATCGGCTATTCATCTGAGTAGAGTGTTTTATGTGTGACATCAAGAAAAGGTTAATTTACCTGAATGTTTGTAAATTACTTACAGAGAACATTTCTATCAAATGATAACGAGTAATAAAAACTAAAATAAATATATTTAAAAAAAAAGAACCGTTAAGTACGATCTATCCGTAACTCCTTGCTACGCGACAATGCGAAATGCCGGTTGACCCTGTTTTATTTTTCAATTAGTAAAATCAATAAAATGTAGGGTAAATAATTCTCGTTTCCTATCAACTGAGTATCTTCAATTTGAATTCACAGATAGTACATTTTACGAAACATCAAAATAAACAGTAAACTCGAAGTTTATCAGATTTATTCGTCGAGAAAAACTTAAATATCAAATATTTTCTTTGTTTTTCTAGATTGTGATATGCGCACAGCTGACATTTTTCTGGCTTTTCTGAGCCACTTTCTGGCATCTGTCGTATGTATTCACTCGTTTATTTAGCTTCATTTTTCTCTACGTATGAAATATTCATAGGTGATCGCAACGTCGGACTCTTTATCATCGAGTCAATGTTCTAGTCTTGGCTATGCATCAAACAATTTAATGTGCTCAAGTTGTAATGATTTACAACAATTTAAATTGGGAGATTTAGAAAGTTCATGTCGACAATGCTGTGTACATGATGAGAATGATCAAAATGAACCTGAAGGAAAAGCTGTATGAAATGGTCTTTCATCGATAAATAAAAATTTTACTTCGTTTCTGTTTTTGTAGAAATACCATCGAGCTGTACTTCAAGTGTGTTCCTGAAAATTAGGGCGCTATGCCCAAATTGCGGCGTTCGTGAAAAGCGATCGCCCATCGCGGTTTCCATCGTTCAGTGTTGAATATGTACGTGGAGCCGATCCAATTCTTAATCTTTATAATGATAGTGATGAGCAAATTGAGTCCATGGGTATTGAAAAATGGGATACGGATACATTAACAGCATTCCTTGAAGAAAACTTGGCTCATTAAAATCGTGCTTATTGAATATTTGAATAAATGGTTCGTCTTTCATTTTTTGTTAAATGTCCTTTTATTCGAAATTGCGTATAGAACATATTCATTTTATGTCTTTTTTTTATGACCGAAAAACACCAAACCTAACTAGGCGTGATTTTCGTGATTGTTAGAATGAATATATCTATACTATTTCGAAAAAAAGATTCGTCTAACAAGTTTGTCACGCGAAGCATTTTTTAAATATCTGCTTTTTCTTGTTATTTAATTTTTAAAAAGTGTTTTTTTTCTTCTTACTTGAAATATATTGGCTGGGTTTAGTGTTCGATAAACTCGTTCTCCTCAAAGCTTGTGAACAAAAAGACTTGACTAGTTAAACAAACACAAAACTTATCTTTTTGATATTATACAATAATTTCATTTCTTTCATCTAAAGGACTTTAACGTCTTTTTTGTGCACTTTTCTTGGCATGCACTGGCTTCTATCTGTTTCTGATGGAACCTCATTATTTTGCTTGAGAAGTTTTTCTTATTTTTTAGCATACCAATTATTGCTTGTCATAACAGAGGAATCCATTCATTATAATAAATCTATTCGATAAATTGTATTCACATTAACGAACTTGAAAGGAGCAAAAAAATACTATGTCAGATTTGAAATGAATGCGATGAATCTCTATTTTTCTGTTGTAATCTTATGTTTGGCGAGAAATTTTTCGTAAAAGTAGATTTTTTAAAAGCGTCTAACATCTTGAAATAACTCTGTTATTCCTTCATCTCGAAAGATGTATATATTTCTCTGTCACTATATCTTCTGCATATATCAGTTTACATCAAATTTTCGATCAATGGAGACGTTAATTGATCGCTTTTAGCCAAGACGAGTAAGGCCTTGAGGTGAATTATTCATAATGAAAACTCCTCTTCTAGCAAAATCATGACAACACCACTCCCATCTTCACTCTTTCTATAAACATGTTAAGTTCTCTCTATTGTCCCAGGACCTTTGAAATGCAAATGAAGATAATTAAGTTTATCGTTTTTTTGCAAAAAACAAATATATCAATAGAATTTATTTTAATTTCAACACGATTAATCAGTAATTGTGTTTAAAATTTAATTCTATTTCAATTAATTTCGTATTATCTACAAGAAAAGTAACAACTGCGAGCAATAAAAAAAACAGAAATATTTTTTATTAAAGATTATTATTATTAATAATATCTTTTTTTGCTTGAAAACGATAAAGTTTTTGTAAATGTATTGGTGTATGACGTCGATGGCATTGACAACGAAGTATACGAACAAATGTCCGTCGAAACGTTCCATTACATAAAGCGTAAAGCATTGGACTAAATCAAAGTAAATAAAAGTTGAGAAAAATATTTTCAAAACAACAATTTTACTTTATAGTGGAATTAATATAACATAACATATAACCAAAACGTTCCCAATACATAGGAAATCCATGCTGGAATATATCAGGCTTTATCGTCGATATAATTATATTCGTATTGTAAGGAAGCCATGTAACAATAAACGCAATCAAAATAGCACTACGAATAGAAAAATAAACAAGTCAATGAATTTCTAGAAAATAAATATAAACCTTAATGTTTTCGCCGCTTTTTGGTCTTTCACTTTTTCTAAGCGTCGCTTCACTGTTTTAACACTTTCATTTTTCGAGTTAGTTGTAGTCGATTTCGTAGATCTAACCGGTTCATTGATTTGTTGTTTATTTGAATATTGTGCATGAACTTGAAGAGTTTGCTGCTGTTGATTCGACGATGACAGAACATTTGTACAATTTCGACTGGGTGTTCGTCGCCAAGTCATACTTTCAGTATAACTCGTTGCATGAGCAGTTGGAAGCGATATTGTTGTTTGACCACGTAATCTTGACTCAACATATTCGATATCTTTATCAATATTACTAACAAATGTTGGACGATTTTGTTCTTCAGGACAATCATCAAATGTTGGTGGTGCTGAACAATAATATGGATTTGTTTCGGATTCTGTTAAATTTTGTTGTTGTTGTTGTTGTTGTTGTTGTTGTTCTCCATTACACATAAATTCAGCTGGTAATGGTTCCTCACATCGACGAATCCATGGGTCACTTCCGGGACTGGCTTTTGCCGTATCAAATGACTCACGAAAAGCACATGAATGAGCAAGCATACGACATATTTCGCCGTTGTTAGGTAAAGCAAATGGGTCAGGTAGATTTGCATCGATAATTTGAGACATTCCACGTGGAATTTCACTTGAACATTCATCATATTCTTGTTCAATTTGTTTTGCTTTAGTTTTACTAGAATGCCATGGAAATAGATAAACAGTTAATAGAAAAAAATTCAATTATGGTACCAAAACAGTTCGTAGCAGACAGTTATTAGTATTATTTTCTATTAGAAACCTGATAGTTTATAATATAACCATCAAGGGTATCCTGTTTTTCCTTGTTGATTAGCCAAAATAAGAACAGATCAGCTTGACAAAAACAAATCTATAGTGGTCTTCTTTTCCAAAAGTACTACTTTTACCATAGTACAATATCCTTCTAATTTAGTGCAATGACAGAAACACGTGAAAATTCGAAAACAATCGATTCAATTCCTTGAAAATATTCATTCGACGAAGAACAATTACAAGTAGATCTGTCTAATCGAAATTTAGTATTTCGAATTCTTATCCTTCGGTCAGAGGCATTGTCTCTATTGTCATCTTATGCCTGCATTAATATATTCAAGTTTCTATCGAAACTGTCTCTTTCCGACGTATTGTATTATTTAGAATGATGTGTTCATCTATATTGTCTCTTTATTTCCTCTCTACTGCGCGCACACACGTGCACATGTCACATACAATTTACACTTAAAAAGAATAACATGCTGCTCTATGCGGATGAATCGATTGAAAACAATTACCTCTTTAAACAATAACCGTGAAAAGTATGAATAAATTTATTTTGCTTTTTAGGATCAGATAATATTGACGTTTTATCAGTAGAACTTTGAATTTTAACATTCCGTCCATGTGATCTATTGGAATCGGTTGATATACTTTCATCTTGTTCGCGAACGGATGCGGCTGCTAGATTGTTTAGATTTTGTGGTAAACGACTATTTGAATTTGAATTTGAATTTGTTGCAATTATTTGAGATAATGAACTATGATGTTGAGCTTGTAAAAGATGTAATTCTTTCCGGCGTTTGACTGTTTCGCGATAGATACGAAAATAAAGTAAACACATTAGTGTCACTGGTAAATAGAAAGCAGCTATGGCCGTTGGAATTGCCACTGTAATATACAAGATAAGTTTACGTTCTATTGATATTCTATTTCTTACCTGTAGCTTTGGAAGCAAATGGCAATCGGCAGTCTCCGGGCGGTAAACTTTTATCAAATAATGGCCATGCCCAAATCCACTAGAGAGAAAAAAATTATTCGTCTCGTTTTTGCTTTCTTACTAACGTGTTATTTATTTATTTTTTTTTTACCGGTGTCCATATAAAACATGATATAGCCCATGCCAAAGCAATCATAATAGACACGCGCTTCGGCGTTCGTTTTGTTCGATATGTTAATGGTCGCGTTATAGAAAAGTATCGGTCAAAACAGATAAGTAAAAGATTAGCCACAGACGCGTTCGACATTGTATAATCAACACTAAGCCATACATCACATAAGAATGAATCAAATGGCCAACGATCTTTTTCGAAAAATGTAAAAAATATTGGTATTGAAAAAAAGCCAATTGTAAAATCAGCTATGGCAAGCGATAGTAGGAAATAATTTGTTACTGTTCGCAATTGCTTATTAATACGAAACGATATTAAGACAAGTAGATTACCAGCTGTTGTTAAAAATGACAGTATGGTACCGCCCACAATGATAAGAATAGTTCTATATAGTGTACCTGAAGAAACTTCAGCTGATGTGCAATTGCTATACAAGAAACATAGTTTATTGTCGTCAGACATCTCTAAAAAAATAAAAGTAAATAACTAATTCATAAATAGATTAGACTCTAGAGATAAGACTGATCAAATATCTCGTACGATAAAAATTTTCTTTCTCGAAAATTAATTAGCACCAATTAAAGAGAAGTTCAAGAGAGATAAAGAAAAATAATATATATGTACTTAGATATTGTTAATAAGAAAAACATGTTGACAAAAGGAAAATAATACGACAAGAAACAAAAAAAAAACTAACTTATATAAATTTGCATTTAGATGAATTGACTAATGTGATCTTATTTTCTCCGTTTTTTCTTCTAAGATTTCGACATAACTGTATCAGATCAGTTTACATAGATAGGAAAGAGATATATTATATGTACCAAAAGAGAATATCAATATCACGATGTACTTTGCGTGCTGAACTGGGACAATGTTTGTTTCTTAGAAAAACAATATACAAATGGCAAGATCTTGCATTGAATAACTATACTATAGAAATCAGCTTAAAAAAAGAGAAGGAACCTATTTGTAAACCATCAAAGCAACGGAATGAATGACTGTTGTCATTGAATAATGTACAGAATCGCTTGATTTCCTATACATTAGGGGGAAATGAAAGAGAAATGCTGTTTCTTTCAGGAAGACATTAGAACAGGCCAAATTTTGTGGTAATTATTTTCTCTTGATGGTGTTTACTGAAACAGATCTTCCGTTACTAACCTTTGTTTGCATACTAATATTCCTTCAGCAGATCGAGGAAACCTCTGTTAAATCTAGTAGACCACATTCTTATTCTATGATACTGTATTTTTGAGAATGGGTTCGTTATTCTTTTCTATGGCACATATCTTAACAATTGTTGACTTGTTTATAATATGCCTCTCTTCTTTTTCGCACCCTTTCTGCATCTAAAAGCTCGCCCATACACTAATATATGAAATCATACATTAAACGATACGTCTTCATCTGTCAACAATCATATTCGCACCTCATTCATTATACTAAACAACAACAAAGAAAAAGAAGAAGAGGAAGTCGCTTCCAAAACATAGTGTGAACATACTATCATCAGTGATGTAAATACTAACGTAATAGTGAGATACGCAATCGTATGTATGTATATATGTAAATTAACAGACAGTAACTTTTGTTAAGATAAACTCACCTATCCCACTCAACAATAATAATCTTGCTCTTTATTCTTAAGTCTGTTCGCTTTCATCTCATGATGCGATCTACTTTGATGTTGACAGCAAAGAACGCGTTATTCTACTTCAGACACAAGGAAATGACGGGAAAAAAGAGCAAGAGAGGGAGATATTAAGAGAGAGGGAGAGGGAGAAAAAGCAAAACTCTTTTGAATGTCTATGCTTAGGCAAGCCTGACGATTATGTTTGATCTCTGCGACTTGATAAAATATATATATATCTGTTTCATATTGATTTTATGATAATAGTAGATTTTATGTGTGTGAATAAGGAGTTTTTTTGTTATTTTTACGGTTTACTCAGTATTCCGGCAAGTAAAAATATCAATGTTGTCATTTAAATGTACTTGTGTGTAATTTCTGTCACTATGAATTCTTGTATTTAACGATTATGTTTTGCAAAACTCATGTAGCGATGAACGTGCTTGGAGTGCTTTTGACCTGCATGAAATCATAGAATGAGTGCGACTAGTTAATGTAAAGATCAATATTTGATAATGACATAGAATACGATAAATAGTTAATTTACGAATGCAACTGTGTTAATTATCTAGTGTTAATTTGATAGCATTTCTGTTTGTGTCGATCGAGCATTATGATGATCAATGGGGTTTATCGATTGTCGAACAAAACGTTTTTCTTTCCTCCTCATTTTAGTTTTAAATACAGTCAATAGATAATAATAATTGACAATAATAATTTTAAAATCTTATGTTTTTTTTTGAGTTGCTACTTCTGTCTTTCTTGATTTACTATTAATATATCAATTAGTCACTAATTACACATATTTTTTAATGCATTTTTCGAATGTTGATTTTATTTATCTGCAGTAGCCGTATTAGTGACGTGAGAAAATAATAGATATTCTCTTATCAATAGTCATAATAAATCTTAATAGATAGAGGCAGACTTTAAGAAACTATTCTGAGTGCATCAACGTGAAATCAATGTGACAGATGTAAAACTAATGACAATTGGACCCGTGTTGTGTTGTTCTGCGCTTTATCTTTTCTTTTTCGGAATCGACATGTCCTACTTTTGCGTTCTTTTAGTTTCTGATAGATATGAATGATTTATTGTTTAACAATAGGATATTAAAGTGAGTAATACAGCCAAAGGTGCGCTTAGTTAAGCAAGAAAAGGAAATCAACAACTGACTAATGAAAATCGATAGTATTGCGTATTGTTGTTAGTCTTATCATGAGCAAGACTAATACTTTCTTCAAACGGCAGGGGAATTTTTTTTCCTTTGTTTATATCATATAAATAACGACTTGTGCCCAATTGTCAAGAGAAAAGAAACGGTGACAGAGAACATGTAACACAATAGATGTAATAAGACAAACGTTGACAGAAAAAATAACTTCGTTCATAAATAGTTGAGCATTTTCTATATTCGATTGTGACATGTTGAAACGAACAAATCAATATATATATGTATATTTAATTGATTTTCGAAAAGAGAAAAAAATATATATATATAATTATATCTTCTGCATGAAAATTTCTCTATTGGCTTCGTCATTGGTACCAGTGGCAGAATTAGGCAAACTACAAAAGAAAAGAGACGTGCATATAAATAGTTTGATTCATTTCTCGAAAGAAAAAGATATCGTTCTAATTCATGCGGCAATCATTATAGTTATTCTAATATTAAATATAATTATTTTGCATAGTCGTTCTATAGTACTATAACATGCGCGAGTTAAATTTGGATTTGGATACAAAAGAAAACAATTTTTTTTGTACTGCATTAACTACGAACGTATTTTGTATATTGATATGTGCGATGAAGTCAATGTAGCCTTAAAAATCGCTTTATCATTTTCATTAATCTTAAGAATTTTCAATTTGAATAGTTTGCATGAGGAATGTCAGCATTGCTGATAAACTGAAAAGAAAACAATAGATATTTATAATGTCAACAATATAATGTGTCAAGATTATTGCGCTGTATAGCATATGACACGTAGAGTATAACGCTTAATAAACTTGACCTTCGCTAAGATAATAATCAGATATTGTAAAGGCAATGCCAAACATCGTATTTAGGTTAAAACAATACGTACATGTGTCTTCATCTAAATTTAACCATATTTTAATGGTTTTCGGTTTTTCTCTAATGAATAAAAAACAATACAAAGCACAATCACGATACTTTTTTCTCGTTCTTATAATACATAAGTGGACAACCGGAATCAGTCGATAGGGACATTGCTTGCGTTTTTAGTACAACGACATGAGAGAATAAAAAAAAATGTAACTATCATTCGTCGACTTCAGACACATATTTTAAATTTATGAAAATCTTGTTTTTTCTTCTCCGAAACAAAACATGAGAAAAGTCTTTTTTATTTATGAAGGTAGATAGTCAGTTATATATCGCGTTCAACTATCATCTATCACTCCTGTCATATTGAAAAAGTAATATGATTGAGAACTCCTCAAGTCTTTTTAACTTTTGCGTCGTCAAATGATAAAAATAGATAAAATATTTCGCCTGTAGCGCTTTTGTATTTCTATCGGGAAGTCTTTAGAAAAAGGTAGCATAATGAAAGTCTAGTGTAGGCGGTGTAAATTAATTCTCTGAAGATAGAAATGATAGAGGGAGTTCTACGTCATTTCTTTTGTTATAGGTGTACTTAAATAGTGATAGTTTTGTTCAAAAAACGAAAATGTACCTTTTTGACTCTGCCGAAGATAAATTATTTCTGTTTGAAATCAAGCAATATCGCTTGTTGTACTGAGTATCAGTGTGTGTGTATGACCTCAAGTGATGTCATCGTATACAAATAAATCCTTTCTAACGGTTTATTTCCGATACAAAAGAATCATGAAGAACATTGATACGATTATCGAAACTAACATTTTATAGTATGAAGTCTATTTTTGATGTGCTATACACTTATATAGGTCACTGGAATCCCTAGCTACAAAACTATGTATGCCATTGTTATGTTTTCCGTACGATCTATTGCATTGATTAAGAAAATTAATGATCGTAATGAATAATTTTCAGGTAGAATAGCAGCCAATGAAATGAAGCTAATCCGTTATGGAACATTTATTGATATAGATATTGTTTATCATCGATGCGACTTATTTTTACTTTCTGGACTTTCTAACGTTCGGTGGTGGCCATCATGATTTTCAGATGTCAACATCAACTTGTCACATGTAGAACTTTTATTAATTAGTACCAAACCTTGAAATTTGTTTTTAGACTAATTTTTAGCTAATCTAAAATCAAATTAGAAGATTAACCAATGCTAAATCGGGAATGATAATAATAGACTCAATGTGGCACCTCCATGGATTCGTTTGTTCATAAGTGATACTCATCAATATTAAATTAATACTCTTATGAGAGATTATTATCATTGGAGCGTTCAGGTCGTAACCTCTGAGTTTTTTTTCCCAAGAGAATTGCAATAAGCCCTTTAGAATTTCCTTTCTATCTTAAGAGCGAATGAACGTCTACTCTCATGAATTATGTAATGATTAGATTCAGTGGCGGCTGAGCCACTGAGCCCCATGAGGCTTGAGTCTCACCTAGATTTCACAAGATGAGGCTGAGCCTCATCTTGCTTTTGTACCGATTATTGCTATTTTTTATTCTTGCATCAAAGTCGGTGCACATAAAAGTATATTTTGGTATTTTCCAATCTTCGTTTTTAATTATACTGGCCATTTTTGTGTACTCAAAAAGCGAGTACACTCTAGATTCGGTCAGTGTGTCCGTCCGTTAACACGATAACTTTTGGAAGCCTAATCCACTTGTCATGAAATTTTGTACATACGTAGAATGATCTCGTCAATATCTCAGTCGAGTTCGAAGATGAGAGTAATCCGTTGAGAATTTGTTGAGTTACGCAAAAAATATCCGTATTTTCCATGTGAACAGTGAATAGGTTGCTCACAAGATTTCCTCTGTATCACAGTGTCAAAAAACTCACATACCTTGATAATGTGTGAGTGTGATATTTATTTGTTTTTCATATGAGCAACACCAATTTTTTCGGAGTAAATAGAACTCGTCACTTAGCAACAGTCTTTATGAGTTGTATCTTCAGTAGTGTATTCGATTCTCGTTCTAATTTTGTTGTGCATGATATAAAATGTTTAGGACAAAATAGGAACGGAAAAAAATGTATGTACTTTTTCGCTTTTTGAAGTGCGCATAACAATCGGATGCAAATCCGATGTTTCCACATTTATTATTTTTACTGAAGTTCAATGAAAAGAAGACTTATTTTCTACTGAATGCTTTCATAAAATTCCACAGTAGAAAAAAAATCTTATGAGTCTCACCTAGCTTAGTGACGCTCCGCCGCCTCTGATTAGATTAGCATTGTATTCTGGTGCTTTTTAATCAACATCATAAATCTGTTTCCGATGGTTAGATGATGATGATAAGATTATATTTGTTTATTCACGATTATTTGATTATCATCAGCCAGTATCATAAATCAAATCGACTACGTAATTTTCTTTCGAGACTCATAACATCTTCTTATAGTTCTTCACTATTTTAGAATAGTAATGCAATTGAAACAAAATTTATGAACACTACGATCAATTAGAAATTTAATACAAATAAGGAATCAAACGTTTGAGCTAAATCTACACCCGATGCATTATTCATTAGTTGTAGGCCTTCGGACAGTCTTGTCGAGGTTACATCAGGGGACTACTGTAATTGAAACTAACGAAAATGTTGATGGTTAATTACAGTGTGTACGAGAGAAATTGTCGTTAGTATGAAGTTTGTTAAACTAATCGATAGATTGAATTATAATAATATAGAAGTGGCTATACACTGACTGAGAAGTGCGTTATCAATTTTTTAAATTTCTGCATACTCATCAGTGTAAAAACAAAGCAAGATCATGCACTCTTATCTTGATGATAGAGAATAGATTATAAACGGCCGCTTACTAATAGTATCTTTTCTTAGACACGGCTCGGATTAGAAATAAAGAATAAAATATTTACTTGCAACAGAAAAAACGAAGTAAACAATTTTCTAGGTTCTCATCGATATTTATTTGGAATATTTTGAAAAAAATAAAACACAGTAAAAGCTATTCAATCTGTTCAAATATAAAGCAGTTTTTGTTTATTTATGAAGAAAGTTTTGCAAGTGCAAAAAATCCACCAATAGCTCCAAAAAGAAGTCCGACAAATATTAATCCAATCCAGAGGCCAGTAATCTTTGGACCTGATGTTTTTGGTTTATCTTCGGTACTTTTATGTTGGGTATTGAGTGAACCAGATTTTGCACGTAAAACAGCATCTTTTGTACCGTATCTAGCACGAACAAAGAAACCATTTGCATCAATAATTGAATTGAGACGTTCAACTAATGTATCTAATGATTCTTCTTTTAATGGATTTTCTACCGGGCCGGTACGGGGCGGTGCGTCAAGTAAAGTAAATGAAACTAAAATATCATCACCATCTTTATCAGCAATAACATTTGAAATTCGAATAGGGCGCACCAATAATGTAAATATTAACGTTTCAAATATATGAAAACGTAAATTATTCAAATTCTGCAACACTGGATAATTTTTATCATTTATTATTGTAAATGATAAAACAGCAAGATTGAATCTTTCTAGAAAAAGCTTTTTATAGTTAATTATTTCTTTGAAGAAAATTCTCTTACCAGCTGGGCCTAAAGCTCGGTAACAGTCAGCTAATGTCGCGTCAACTTCGAATACTGCCCTTGATTCACGAACATAGTTGAAAATTGCTATAAAATTAGAATTAAAAAAAATCTATGTACGAAAATTAGAGACTAGTTTATCTTACTGGTTTCCATTGTGAATGTAGGAATTTCATCGACAGAAGTTCTCAAAAGAAATTTGACTGGAAATGGTTCTTTTACTACTTCCCCGTTGATATTTGCTGCCCAATACCACTCTCGATGTTCAATAGTCTTATTTCCTACTGATTTTTCACCAATCCATACATTACACCAGATATTATCCCGACATCGTTTTTCACCTGTATACTGATAGGTAATATCATCCAACAAAAAGAAATGCTGTGGACTACCCATTTGTATTAGATCTGGTTTTCCATCGACCGGTACCGAATCATTAGCACCTGGAGTTAGAGGACGGACATTACATTGATGATTTGTATAATTATATTGATAGTTAAGACCAGTTGCAAAATCATGTATTTCACTGTAATGTAACCATTGCGGTCCACCAGATGGATCAGGAAACCACACATCGAAACGAGTTAATCGAAATTCAGTATCATATAAACCATGTGCACTTAGAATTGAACTATTGAGCTGTGGCATAAAAGCTTCTGAATTCGAGCTAAGTCTTTCGGGAATATTTGAGGGTGTATCCATTGTCGATGTTCTACCTGCACAATATACACCTGATGGAGTTTCTAATGCTTGACGTTCTTCTCGGCGGCTAGGATTCGGTACATAACGAAATACATTATATGTATATCGGTCTTGGCGGCCATTTCTATTTCTAATTTCAACGTCAATTTGTAATATAATACTTTGATTGCTTCTTAAATAAGCCTGAAATTTTGTTACATCTGATACATAATATGTTGCAGATACAGTTGCTTCAATATCCGGTACGTCAAAGCATGCTATGAATTTATTTGCAGGAATGCCACGTAGATCAGTATCACCAACATATCGATTGCCCCACTGTGTGTTCTCTTCATTACGAGGACCAAAGCCAAGTAAAATCGAAGGTTTTACATAAAGTGTTTTTTGTGCAATAACACTAGTTTGAGATGTACCAGTAAGTTCTTGTCGAAAACATTTTTGTACTGCTTGTTGATTAGCAATAAGAGTGAGAGTTTCAAACTGTTCGTTGGTACCAAAATTCCAATAGAAATTTATTGGTCCTATGAGAAACGAATGAAGAGGAAAAAACAAAACATTCAATGTTGGTAGTAAAAGAAACATGATGGTGAACCTCTACTGGTGCTTGTAGCCACAGCATCACGTTGTGGCGAAAATGCTTGTGAGAGTTCAAGCATTTCATTATCGACGACCAATTCTGTGACGATCTCAAATCGAGATGGGACTGTTCTCCATTTCGGATCAGGGAAAGTAATCGGTCCATTCTGGCAACCTTCGAAATTTTGTCCATAAATTAAACTTGTCGATAACAAACTAATAACTACGAGAAACAACGGTAATAGTTGCTGCATAGTCAGTCTTTCTTTAGTCTTACTATTTGAAAATGCTACGTTGAATAATGTTTTCACGATAATAATAAGCCTTTTAAGTTACATTTTACGATAAGAAGAAAAAGAAGATGATGAAAAAAAAGAAGTATTTTGCTTGCTTGCATTATCTCTGATAAGTGCGACACTCACTTGCAACATTGCCTTCTTTTTTTTCTTCGTAGCAAGTCGTTTTGTATGTAAACGATACAGTGTGCATACTGTTATCTATATAATAATAAGAATTTTGTCATTCTTGGTCATCTGTCGTTTACTCATCTCTATTTAGAGATTCTCAAAATAAAAGTAAAAATAAAAATTTTCAAAATATTATGTAACTAAGCTCAATCTGTCGGTATCAACCTTGGCTTATATTTATCAAGCTGATATTCTATTATAACACAAATATAATAATAAATGATTGGCACCTGCTCCCTGTAGTGATAAGCATCAGCAGCAACAGCAGCAGTTTGTTCTATATTATTTACCATCCATGACTTTGCGTTCCCATATAAAAAAAGCTTCCAAATAATTACAGATATTGACCAGAAAGATTTATTCTATGCAACAAATGAGAAATATTGCCTGTAGTCTATGCATTTTTGCTTCTCTAGAAAGCAAATGGAGAAAGTTATTTTTTGTGATGTACGCAAAGATAAAGAGAGAAATAATTCAATAGGATATAAATACATTTCTTCCTGCGATGTACTGCCGATAATTCTACTCCGATAGACCGCATAGAACAATAACGATAAACTAAACAGAACTAATATAAATGTATGCTCCTCGCGCAAAATTCGAACGTGTCTATGTTATATCACCGATTAAAGTAGCAGTTATATTTCTAATATGTCTTCATTGTCTTTGTGTTTTCGTTACGTTTTCAACATCGTTTTGGATTAAAACAGAACGCGGTCATCATGGGCCATTGTTTAGCTGTGAAAAACGTTTGATTTCGAATAACGATTTAATATTATCTGTGAAAAATGAATGTTATATGGGCGGATTTACTCATGATATTATTCTCTTCAAAATACCACTAACAGCGATGTTAATTATAATGTCATTTTTAAGTGCGTTTATATCCATTACTACAGCGAGTCTATCATTTGTAGAAAACACAAGTTCAATGCGTCAGCGATATTGGTTATATACGATTATTTTACTTCTATTTGTTTGTATTATTGATTGGTTTATATTGGTTTTTGTTCCATTGAATTATCATCAGGAAGTTTATCATCTTCAATGGGCTTATAGCGTGCATTCTATTTCAACTTTGTGCATTTCTCTGTCGCTTATTACAGCTATCATAATGCATAAGCAAGATGATATTCGATATATTGAAGGCATTGCTGGATCAACTATTGAAAAATAAACTAAAATCGTTTTTTGTTCTCTCTTCGAAATAAAACCTTCCGTTAACAGTTCTAACTCTTTGTTTTCTCTTGTTTTGATAGCCAATGGAGATGAAACTTTTGCTATTCCAAGCATAGATCAATATGCAGTCCGTTCGCATGAGTACAAACTCGAATATGATGAATGATATCTAATTTTGTGTCGAGCTTGATAGCCCTGGATGAAAGAGAACACGGTGAATCGATTAGTAAAGGTTCACCGATTTCTTCAAACCACGTTGTTTATTATGGTCTTGCCATGTATTGCTGCTATATGATCAACCACTGATAAGAGAATATTATCAGCTCATTAATTGTTTTTCGCTTGAGAATATTGCTGTTTGGTGGATTATGATGTTTAGTAAAAAAAAAAAGGTATGTTTTGGTTCAATTTTGTTTTTGATCTTTGTATGCTTAATAATAAAAAATGTTTTACTCGGCTTTCGTTGTCATTTGAGCATAGAAAGTACCATCAACTAAATGAATATATATCCTTGCTAGGATGTTTGCAGCATAAAAATCTTTTTTTTCTTAATTTTAGCCCATCGTGAACTCCAATTATCAGCCGTGCAGAATTGCCTAGGATTCTCACTCGGCAAGAGAAAATCTAATGAGACTCGTTTTTCCTGCTGATCATGATCGATCGAGTGGCAATACTCTCAAGCGATAAATAATTGTATAGTTGGAAATGATTTCTCGTTGCCAGTAGTTTTACTATAACAATTAATCATGTATTGGATTAGTAGCGCGATATACAAGCAGTCACAATCATTTTTCGGAGCTCTTTTCCTTTTAGCTAATTAAAAATTACCGCAAAAGAAAACAAATAGAAACGATTTATTTGTCTGAAAAATGAACTTTTACGATAAATGTTTTCTAATCAAAGCAATAATCTGTTTTAATTTAACGATTGCGTTTTTTAATCGCTGAATTTTTTCATAAAGTAATCGAATATGTTCTTGATCAACATCTTTTGTAATTATTAAATTATTTCGAATGTAAACTAATGTCCATGATGAATAAATAATCCAAATGTGATATTTTACTAAATGATAAATTAACTTTTCAAAAGCATAATGACTGGAATTTACATGACTGAGATTTTTATCATTATGAAAATTATTCATTAAATATTTTGACCATTTTTCCATATGAAAACAACGTATAGCACGTAACAAACGAAGACGCATATCAAGCGAAAGATCATATTGAGTAAGTTCTCGATTTGAACAAATCATTAGACGTGACATATTATTATTCAATTTGTTCATTAAATCATTAGCATTCGAATGTGAAAAACCCATATGCGAAAGAAAACTTAAAGCTACACTTAACGATGTCATGTTTCTTAAATAATAGTGATTAATATAAAGGTTTTCTCCACTTGCGAGGCCGACTCTAATGACCAGTGAACACCGGTTTAAAACAGATGACGCTATAAATCAAGTACATCGATATGTGAAAGTATATTTCAACACAAATTCAACAAACTATAATAGATCTGATCTAATCTTATTAGAAATTCTCTTGACAAGTGCAACAAAACAATCCTCATAGAATAATCGATTGCAAAGAAAATATTTATTTCTTTAAACAAAATAGAATATATGCAAAGATTACAATAAAAGAGTATGAATAATAAAATAATGCAGTCATTGTTTTTAATAATCAGTTGCATGTTTATCATATTTATTATATTTTTTTGTTGAATTAGAGAATTCATTATTTGATTCAACTTTATCTTTGATATCAGATAACCATTGTTCACCAGTTGATGTATCATTACAAGCAGGTGGCCAATCGTCGTTCCTTTCATCTGTTGCATATTGAAAACGAGCATATTGCGCATGATCGTCATCGACTTGATCATTCTCTAGAGTGACAGCACCAAATTTCTTTGAACACCTTTATTATTTAAATAAAATCGCAAGTATAAGCTTTCAAGAAATAAAAAGGACAATACAAACCAAGCGAATTGATCAACAATACTATCTTTGATTAAATCAAACGACATTCCCAATATCGCTAAGCCAATAACTATATACACAGACGCTGCCATAAAACGGTAGCTTTCGGTTGGGCCTGGTGTCATTCCTGGTACCTTAATCAATATGAAAAAAACAAATCTATGGAAACTTTTCTTTTGTGCTTGTCTTTACATACATAATCACCAAATCCAATTGTAGATAATGCAATATAACAGAAATAAATCGATGTAGTCATTGTCCAACCTTCCGTATTATGAAACATAAATGCTCCCAAATAAAGATAGCCAACAATAATTGAAAAACCTACTACGGCTGGCACTCGACTTCTAATCCGATTCCAAGAATCTTCAAATTCTTCATCGAAATAATCATTATCATCGTCAAGGTGGTTATTTGATTGTTCATATGCTTCTGGCCAACTTGGATCCATCGATGTCGTGCCAACATGATCCACGCCATATTTATTAGACGAATTTTCTGAACTCTTCGAATGATTCTTATTCCGACGAGAACGAATACGGCAATAGCAACAAACACAACGAAGAAGTCCCGAATACATAAAATGAAAAATGGTACACATCGCAGCGCTTATTCTTGTCAAGCAAATAAGAAATATCGGAATGCCAATTACTGCATAACAAATACATGTGATTCGTCCTTCCCTAAAAAGTATTGAAAATAATTAAATTTATAATTCTATATCATAATTATTTTTACCATGACACCGGTGTTACTTGCCCAAAACCAATTGTTGTAATCACATTGATTGTAAAAAGTAATGCCGATGAATATATCCATCCTGATGCAGTTGGACAATCTTGTCCTACATAATTATAAGTACTTTTACGATCATAAATATCACTTGTAAAGTTGTCTAAATAGTCAACAACTCCTTGATAGATTTCTGTTATATTGTCAGTTGATGAAATAACATAATCGTATATTTCTTCGGATAGATCTGTTACTTCAATACTTTCTTCCACTGAAAAAAAATAGTAAAAATAAAAGATTTTTTTTATTCAAAATGTTCACACATACAACTAGCTAGTTGACAATTTTGTAATTCAATATATTGTTCTAGATAAATGAAGAGATAAGCTCCACCAACAGCATAAGCAACGGTAATAACAAATAAACCGAAATCCGAAGCGAAATAGTGCATGATTGAATAACATGAGAATCGCTGTTGAGAACCATCAGTCTTCTCGACTGTTGACTTATCGAAATTAAGCGCAGGCTTATTCGACATCTTACTTGAAGAGCGTTTGAAATGTCGTATGAAGCAACGCAAAATGTTTTCTTTTCCTCTGACCAAATAATGATCAAATAGCAGGCAAGAACAATAAAACGGAGTGAGATGTATGTTTTCTCAATTGAATAAAGATGGTAAAACAAAAGTGAATGCCGACAAGAAAAAATGAAATTAAAAATTTATGATTAGCGAACAAGAAAAATCTTTGAAAATAATATTGATGAAAGTTTGTTTTCTTGAGCATATATAAAAAGAACTTCTGTTTCAATAGTAAACTTTACGGTACATCCTAGTTTCTCGTTTTGAGAAAAAAGTATGAATTATTCTCATGGAAAATTCTAGTTATTTGTTGTTCTTCTCACGAGGGAACATTCTCAGGTGATTCGCACCATTTCGATTCATCTTTTGCTGGCTTGTAGGACCGGTCATATATATGAAATACCTGCAAGGGTTCGTGCCATTGCGGGTCGGTTTCAAAGTTATGAGCGGAAAATGTGTTACAATAGATGGTGCCACCTTCTATGTGGTATTTTTTTCCCTCTTTTCATATCTCAACTAGGGAATGATTTTCCCCATAGATATTTATAATACGAACATTTCTCAACTTGATCGAACGAAAAAAGTTTCGAGAAGTATTTTTGAGCTACCTGGTGGAAAGAACGAAACATTAATGAATAGATAGTAGCACCATCTATCAAAACAGTTGTTTCGGCCATAACTTTGAAACCGAGCAGCAATGGCACGAACCCTTTCACATACGTCATATATATGATGAGCCCTACAAACCAGCAAAAGATGAATCTAAATAGTGCGTGCGAATCACTTGGGAACGTTTCCTCGTAAGTTTATGAAATTTTTTACCAATATTTAAATCGCTGCTATCGAATTCGATGTTCAACTAAATAATTTCTTTATATTTTATTTGCATGAGAACTGTCAACTTATATTCGCAAAATGATTTTAAAAAAAGCAGTGTTTTTGCAAAATTTTACTTTTCAAAGGATAACTTTGAATGTTATTTCGATGGCAAACTACAGTTTATCTAGGTGTGATTTGTTGGAGAGTTTTTCTTGCCCATTGCATTTACAAACTGAAGGAGAATATTATTAAGTCAAGAAGAACAATCGAACCATTTGTATTACTAGCTAGCAAAATTCTTTATATTCCTATCATATTAAAATTTTCATCGTGAAAGTAACAAATATAAAATGGTTGTTTACAAATCATAATGTCATTCCTTTCTATTATATTGACTAAATATTTAGTTCAATCGTATGTGGTTCTATTTAATTTGAGTATAACTAATAGAGTCCTGCGGGACGGGGCAATTCGAAAAAATCCAATGTCCCGAATTTTTAAAATTACATAAAAACGTGTGGTGTACTTTAAACTTTTTATTGATAATAAATATCTTAATGTTTAAATGGAAAGCAGAAAGAAAGAAATATCAGAAGATGTGCTGAAAACGGTTCATCATCATTATCTTTTTTAGCTGTTTCTTCATATAATTATTGATTTCCTGTCGTCAATTTAATTTTGTTCTGATGTTACAGAAGGTGTTGAGTCAGTTGAGTTTTCTTTCTTTACACACTTCAACAACTAAAGAATAAGTTTCATTTAAAACTCGCCTATTTCTCTTAATAAATAACAAACTATTAATTTTATCTGTACATAAATGTGTAGCTATGTGCTTTTTCGAGTGTATGAAAATTAATCGAATTTAATTTAAAAAAAAAAAAACTTTCTAAGTAGAACTTGTAGTTGATAGTAACGAGCTAAACAATGACAAGAAAAGAATTTTCACACAATGATAGACTAATTGTTGATATAAAAGAGAGCACACGTGTGCCAGATATATCGAAGTTATTATAGACATGCATTACCTCAAATAAGCCAATACATTTTAAATAGCATCTATCGCAAAAAGCTCGGTTTGACTGATCTAATAATGATTAGATTAAAATATTCTTCGTCGGTTATATAAAAAGTTAATATACTATGGAAACAGGAGAGTACTATTTTCCTCTCGAATGTCTTCTTTACTTCGAGCAGACTTCAAAGTACCAGTTTCTATTGTTGGTAAAAAAATTATTTTTATCTATAAATTTCTCGACCGATTTTGCTTGGCAAATTTTCACTCTTCTTTTTTCCTATTGATCAAGCAGAAAAGGTCTTTTGTTTTGTTTGACGGAACTACGCAACATTTAAATATTTTTTGTCAACGGGAAAAACGGGATTCGGGACACGAGAAAGTTTGTCCCGCAGGTCTCTAATAACTAATCATATTAATTAACAACAAAAAACATGAATTGTCGATAGAATAAAAAGAGAAGAAAGTTTACTCATTCTTGCCCTCAAGCTTATTTGTTCAACCATTGAATTCAAAGTTGATTTCTTTCTTAATCAAAATTTGTATTACCATTGCTTTTTGACATAGTAAAAGACAAAAATAAATAACTATACTTTTTCTCAACCAGTATGAACACTCCTGGCAAGATAATAATAATGTGCAAGAGAAAGTCGAAATTCTTGATGGACTTGGTATTATTTATTGATTGTGTTAGTTTTTGATAGATCAAAAAAAGTTAAATGATTGACACTAATAATAAAAATAACTTCAAAACGCTCGTCAGGCTTCATATCATGATAATCTCATCATATTCAATCAAGCTGTATTGATGTAAAGCAATGTATATGTACTGAAGCGTACAAGACTAAAAAAATATTATCGATGAAAGTAAATAAAGTTTCTTACTTTTGAATACCTTGAGCAATGTTTTGAAATGTAAATCCAGCTTGATGCATACTGTGAGCTTGATCTATTTCTTCGTCATTTTGACATTTAACACAGTCGAACACCGCTAGCTCTCTGACATTGTTGATTTCAAATGGAATATTATCGATATCTTCAATCGCTTCCACTAATGTAACATAACATTCATCTTGTACAGCATTCAATGTTTCACCGTCAACACATGCAGTGTACTTCAAAAGTTTGTCGTAGTAGCTTTCATTGAAGTGACCGTCTTCATCGATGTGGTATTCATTGTTTCTTGGTGAGATACGATCCATACCACGATGAGCAACTAATGATTTGATGAAGTGAAGAAAAATTTATTCAAGACGATATGACAGTAGAAACACGAAAATATATCTATTTATATAGTGCCTAGATCAGAGGTGTCCACAGGGCCAATTTTATTGTCCTGCCCTGCAAATTAAGCAGAATTATTTTCGTGCTTAAATAAAAGTTTGAATCCTTTTTGTGTACTCAAAAAAACAAGAGTACGCTATAGAATCGGTCAGTGTGTCCGGCCGTCCATCCGTTTATTCGATAACTCTTCACAATTACATTTGATTGAGCTGAAATTTTGTGCACAGAATTGTCTCATCAATATCTAGGTCGAGTTCGAAGATGAGAAGAATCCGTCAAGAAATGGCTGAGTTATCGAAAAAACTGTCATTTTTGATCAGACCATCCCTGAGGGGGAGTACAGGGATTTTTCAAAAAACGCTTTTTTCTCAGAATTATTCACAACATATATAAATCGACTCAGTTTTTAACGCTGATTCTGAATCTGATATTAGTTTTGAACTAAATCATAGCTTTCTAACGAAACATCGCCTGAAAAACGTCTCAAAATGCACAAAAGCTGCATCCAGAAATAAAATTGTCTAGTTTCTTATGATAATTTTGGTGTTCAGACATTCTAGAATGACTCATATTTCCCATGCACTTTTTGCAGTACACATAACTCTCGGATGAAATCCGAAGTTTCCACATTTTTTAATTTGAAAAATAATTCTACAAATAGATGAATGATTAACGAATAATAAATTAGCCCTCATTGAAGAGGTGTATATGATGAAGTTACACCACCACTGGTGGTTCAAAATAGATATATTCAACGAAGAGAGAACAGACGCTTAATTTCATCACCAGAAGAGACAGATGATATATCAGTAGGTGAATCTCTCGACGGTGACAGTGATGCATAGTTTTATTGAAATAATAAGAAGATGAGCAACTATGATAATTATAAATACATGTGCACTATTATGATTCCTTTATTATTTTCTCTTCTTTTCCTACCACTTTGGTTGAACCTCACTGTCATCATACAAACACAAATATAATATAATAATCTATTTACCATTTAATAACGCCATCTGGATTTTTTAGTTTCTTTCACGTTCCTAAGAAAAATAAAATTTCTTTATATGAAACCAGGGTTGCCAGCCGTACCCCATTTGGGGGTATAGTACCCTATTTGAGCCTTTTTGTACCTCAAAAAGATTTGTATCTCTGAGGTACGCATTTTGTACCTCATCTGCATTTTTCAATGTTACGACTACTATCATCCATATTTTGGTTGAAACTAAGAGAATTTCTGCCTGTTTATCCGATATTTACTATTGATAAAGATGTGAAGCGTCAATTATATTGGTTGGTTGCTAATGGTCATGTTTATGAAGAATTCAACAATGACATATGCAACGAGTTTCATGATGAAGATAATCTCATTCACAAATCGACGACCGAAAATCATGAAAGAGAAGTGGAATTTCGGTCTGATCAATTTTGGGCTTTTTTTCTTGTAAAGTCGAAGCCAATGTGTATTGAAATGTACAAAATTATTTCTTATGTGTACTCAATTCCTTGCTCATATGCATTTGTTGAAGGCGTTTTTAATCAAAGAAAAAGCACATGGACAGCCAGTCGTAATTTGACAGTGAATGAAGCGATAGCTGCTGAATTGAAAATCAAATTTAATAGTACTATGACATGTGAAGAGTTTTTTCTTTTGCTCAAACACCACCGCAACTGCTAAAGTGTGGCAAGAAGCAAAAAAAATGCAGTTTCGAAAAAAAGCGTGCAGCAGTTAGTGTAAATATAAATCGAGAAGGTTCGCTTTGAGTAAGCATTGCTTTATTATGATTGAATTGAATATATGTATGACAAAATGAAATTTTATTGTGAACATATTTATTAGAAAATAAAGATTTCAATTTGAAAGCTAGACTTTATAGTAAAACGAAAAACTGAGAATGCCCCTTCCTGGTTGAAAATAGTTTTCGAAATTGATTTCCGTAGCCGATGACCAGTGTGAAAGATGTAAACTGCGTACCTCATGAATGTACCCAATTTACAACTGAGTTGTACCTAACGTATACCCCATTCCGAAATCAGTGTACCCCATTTGGGACCTGAACAGCTGGCAACCCTGAATAGGAGTCATTTGATCTTTTAAATTGAAGCATAGGTTGCCGCGTAGGAAATGGTAACGTAGGTTCTTTTCCATATATTAGTTGATATGCTGAATATTTGGTAGTTCAATGTTGATCAATATTGTATGCATAAATAGTTGATAATAAAAATTGATTCCAACTATTTTGATTTAAATCTTGTAATTTGCATAGTTGTGACTTAATCGTCTCATTGAAACGCTCGATTGTCCCCAAGTCGTGGAGGTACGGCGGGAAACGGCCGGAAAGCACGGGAAAATGGAAGCAGTATTCCAGTCGGGAGTTGCCGGATTTTTTTCCGGTGTATTCCGATCAACTTCCAGCCGGAAATGACAGGAAACTGACCAGAATCCACAGGAAAATAATCCGTCTATTTCCGACCGGAACACTGCTTCCAGTTTCCAGCGCTTTCCCGTGCTTTCTGGTCGTTTCCCACCGTACCTACATGACTTGGGTATACAACGACAAAAATTAGTATCACTATCACTATTAACCAACAAAAACGAATAATTAAATGTATTAGGATTGAGATATGGAAAAGTATTTCGGTTTTTCTTCAGAATATACACACACTATACATATTGACTGTTACAACAATGAGTGAGAGTGAAGAGGCTTATATGATGTGAAGAAGTAGTAGCATTTATTATTATTCATTATTAATTTTAAAAGATGAAACCTATTTGATAATATTCATCGTCGTTTCTCATATGTAAGAAAATTTAAATAAAAATTTCTTCAAGTATTCACGCTGTATCATCATTTTTCAATGTTTGCTTGTCTTTTATGAGACTGGGATCGAATTATTTTTTTGACATTGATTCGATGATTCATCCCGTTTAACTCCTGTACTAGTAAGAATTAGTTAAGCTCTCGCAGCAGTTGACTTCACCATGCTGGCTAATAATTCTCGTTTACTCTTATTAGATCTTTTTATTATTTCTTCTTTTGTAAACCTAATCAAAACACAAACAAGATTACAATAGAGGAAAATAAGCATATAAACATTTTGAATGTACTAGTGTCTTTTCAATAGTTAATTGTTTCACTTTAACACAATTGAGCTATGTTGCATCTCTTGTGAATTTGTTTGTTACGACTGCTAGTTGATTATAATTTAATGAAATGAGGTAGATGTGTGTTTGTTTCACTGAGAAACTGCTCGACATAATCAATATGAAATATCAGGATGTAAAGAGAAATAAGATAATTCCCACACCCACACCCTGCCGTGAGAAGATGTTGTACATTTCAATATTAAGAATGTGATGGTGCCATGCTTTGTCAACCATCGCCGATGGCACCCAGTCTCCACTATAATGATTTTTAACAGACGTGTAAAAGTGTTCCAATTCACTAGTCGCATCCAGTCCGTCTTCTCGGCTCATGTACTCTTTATTCTGCAGATACTCATTAAGATAAAGCACCTCTGTATTTGATAGTTGTACGAGATGAAACCTTACCGTCAATGAAATCTCGTCATGCGCTAATACCATTGAATGGAATGCGATTGCTATGAATGCGCAGTACCACCTGTACCGCAACTTGTCCATTAACAACAAAGAATCAACATTCACGAAGTTCTAAAAGATGATATTCTTTCAATGTGTCTCTTGCACGTAAATATTGATAAAAAGTGTATTGAATTATATTAGATTCTACCACGTCTCCATTGAAGAATGAATAAGATTTTTTTTCCTTAGCATGTGGCAAAAATGGTGCATATCTTGGCAATAGTTATACATTTTTATTATTTATCATTAGCTTAGAATAGAAAGTGATGTGACGCGGGTAAATATCGCAATACATCCATATACTAATGACTATTACTGCAGATAGGCTGTCATTAGCGTATTGTGCATCTTACTTATATTCATCATGAATACATACCCATCACAAGCACGCTTCAATGATCACAAACGAAAAATCTAGAAAAACAAACATTAATTACTTCATTTTCATTTTAATTCAATTTCTAAAAATACAAGGTACACCAACATAATCATAAATCAACAATGATACGTATCAATATGACGATTTGTTTAATTTTACTACTGATTTTCTTGGTAACAATTGCCATGGCATGAAGTGCTTCAGGAGATCAAGACATGAAAGAACCGATCGCACAACGCAGTATGCCATTGCGCGATTTTGTTCATAATGTGATGATAAAAAAGGGTAGAAGTGTTCGTTAATCACACGAATTCTATGCACAAAATTAATTCAGTATATACGTACTATTGCAAGTAAGAAAATAGTTGAGGCGAGCCAGCTAAAACTGTTCCTTTGCTATATGATCGTTAGCATACTGTGAAAATCCCATATCCATTCCAAAATGAAGCAATCATTGAAAAAGTCACGAACAATGATTCCACTTCACTGTGTTTCCTCTCTCGAATTCAATTCCGTAGATGCATGTCGAAACGGTGAAATAGTTGAAGAAAGTTACCAAGTACTGTTCATATGACATGCCATCGTTCGAAATCCATAGAATTCGGCCTCTACATTCTCAAGAGAGAACATATAGATGAAGAGGATCAAATAGAATGATTTACTCTATTTGTGATATCTCATCACGTCACAAACTTGAATATACATAATTACATATTTCAATGTGAAAAAATACTGGAATAAAGTCAGGTAGAATCATTCATTTTTCATGCGTTCATCTATTATAGTTTCTATTCGATATATATAGTCTTTTAACACTCAATAAATTTGAGAAGAGTAACATAGCATAGTTTCATTTTTACGTGATATCCTATCAAGGTATAAATTCGACATAGAGAATAAACAAGACAGAAAATAATCGAAGAAAACAGATT